ACCGTGCTAGGGGGAGACAATTTATTTCCACGTAATGCTTAGTCCATCCTCATCTTCTTTCTGTTGCGTTCTTCTTTCGTAGAACGGTGGTGTGGGTGGAGAGGGAGGAGCTGACACGCTGTCTTTGGTTCCACCATTTGATTGTCAAATTCACCTTCGTACCACAAATTCTCGGATCGCGAGGCATTTAGCAAGGCAACCCCAAATAGTCACGTTAGCCGCGAATGCACAAAGTGACAGGAACTCTCTTCCTCGAGCGTGGATGTCGTCAGGCGTTAGATCAAAAGACACAAGTCCTACTGCGGTGGTGGCATTGAATGCTTTCAACCAATGTTGGTACGGAAAGATGTGCGCACCACCTGTGAGGGATGCAAAGGGAGCCATTGGAAGGCCACTTTTACTGTCCTCTTCTTGGTGGCTTCTACTCAAACGGCTCTACCAACACTCACTCCAAGGACATTGCATTGATGACGCCAATAATTGTTTACGCTTTGGCAATGAAAAAAGTTTCCCATCCTCAGCTATGATGATGGTCATTTCACCATAGCAACCAATCATTGTTGCGAGAGTTAAGTGAAGGTCACATAAATTGACATAAACTTCTTCCCCATTCACTAGCAAGGGGAGCAATGAGAGCTGCTGTTGTTGGCCTTCTTTTTGTCGTCTACTGCTCAGGTGCGTTGGCATTCCTTTCCACGCGTTTTGTTTTTTTCCTTTTTTCTTGCACATCCCCTCGAGGGTGACAACTGTGGACAGACGTTAACAAGTACTTCTGAGACAATCTTTTGTACTGCCATCACACATTTCTCTCACCTCAAGAAAATTAAGCTTTCATTTGGAAAGGATTTGGCACATCTCTGAGGCAATTCAACGATCAACCAACTCAACTGTCTGCTATCAAGTCATTGATAAAATGTGTATTTGATGACCAACTTCAGTGATTTGTGCAAATTATTATTATTTGTTTTTGTTTTTTTAAAGGCGCAAATTCACCAATTTTATGGGGATCGCGTGTAGTGGCGAAGAAATCGGGACCGTCGGACACCATGGTGTATCAGTTCAACGGTGACATTGTACGCTCAGTCTACAAATTTCTATTTTACAAAAAAAAAGCTACAAAAAAAGACAAATTTATATTTTAGGATGCAATTATCAGACACGGTTCCGAGTCTCGAGGTCTAAACCTTGCAAAAGGCAGATGCATTGACACCTTAGGCCGCATTTGGGGCAGTCCATGCAGGCAGGAGGGAAGTAGGTCGACGTCGATGACATCCACGTTGTGATGCTCTTGTCGGGTGTGTCGAGTGGAGTGAGGTGATGCGAGTCTTTTGTGTTTTAGAATACGTCTACCTCACTGTGACCGATGTGAGAGCGCAAGACTTAATTTTTATGATTGACAAGAATCCCTATTCTGGATTGGCCTCAGCAGCCTACTTTGTGCCCAAATGCGAATTTCCACCACCCGCTAAAGGTACTTTTCTTCCACTGATGAGGAGTAGGCTTTATGAGAGGTGCATTAGCCTTGGTTTTGGCTTCCTTGCCGAATTGGCATTATTGCCAGTGCATTTTGCTAATCCTTCCTTACTCTTGGGCCTGACAGATGAGGTGGATCTGAGGACGTCGTTTCCATTTTCACGCTTCGTCCATGGCATGGAGTCGTTTAAGGTTGACTTTGCTATTCAAGGCGCAAACAGTAATTCGCCGGTACGTCGATTCACTTTTTCTCACTTTGACAATTTTGTTTTTTTTTTGCCATTTTTAAAAATCCACTGTGAACTTCTTCTTAACCAAAATGCAAAGAACCTCCTCTCACCTCCTACTTATTTGTGCATCATATCAATGCAGGTTGACTTTTCTGTCAACGGAAAACGTCAGTGCTCGTGGTCCGGAATCGAGCTTAACCTCAATGCAGGCAACTTTTGTGGTGCGTCTCATGCATTGCAAAATCTTGTCCCAGTACACCTGCTTTGCCACTTTTGTCTGAAAGGCTTCGTGCCGGTGCTCTCTGCTGCGCTTCCAGCTTGCATCTGTCTTGCCTTAATAACACGGAAAGATTGAGTCATTTGGGGTCTTTTGTTTGGTTTGGAATGCACTTCTTTTTTTTTTTAATGGTACAAATCAGTCATAACTTGAATGCTCATTTGGTGTGCTTTCAATCCAGCCAACATGCAGAGGGATGAACAGACCAATTTGCGAATATTTCATGGCGTATTTCCAAGGAAAACCAACGTGACACGTGAAAGTTTTACATTTTCAAACAATAGGACGTTTGTGGTTGTTTCTATCGACTACACACAAACTGGTACGTGAGCTATTTGATGCCTCATCCAATTTCCACTCCTTAAAACCATGTCCGGTTGCAAAATATGAGGTAAAAATTGCTATTTCAGGTGTATCACCCGAGGTGGCAGAATGTAGCCGTAAGTTGTCTCGCCTTCTCACTCCATTTTGTTGACCTACTGCCCTCTCACCAAGACAAGGCCCTGAGGTGTCGCGAGTCCTTCCTCCTCCTCCCTATTGTCTTTCTATGCATTAATATGGCATGCCAAAATTTGACACATTCACGATAGATCCCTAAAAGAGTCGTGACTACTTACCGTAGTGATCCTCATCCAAATTGTCAGTGCAAAGTGCTTCCCATTTTAAGCCACAAGACCTCACTTTCACTTAGCGAAATGATGTGTCTTCGTCAACTGCAGCACGGCTGATTTCTCCCTCCTTGTTACTCTCGTATTTTTTTCTTATTTCGCTCTAGGATCTGGAAGAGCATTCACTATCAACGGTGAGATATATCTCCCAACTTGCATTAACCCATAAATTATGGCGCTAATTTAGGGAAATCTGGCGGCACCCGTTTCGACTTGGCACTCCCGCCGATGTGGAGCGTTCAGAAGCAAACACAACTTTTAATGTTTTGCATTACTTTGACAGCACCCTATCCTCAGGACTGAATTAATAAAGCTAAGCATGACAGAGTAGAAGATTTAATAACTGTGCAAAAAAGGAATTTTTTTAGCAAATTGCCACAATTATCAATTTCAATCAATTTGTATATTTTAATTTTCATTTTAGGCGTAATTGCATTGCTCCTACTAACAACAATATTACTGAAGTAAAAGACGGAAGACATTGCACTAGATTTTTGTCATAAATTGGACCCTTCTTCACGAATTCTTAATTCACCATATTGTCCCAAATTTTGTTTTAAATGATCAAATTTGTGTCGCATATCTATCTTGTTCCTGTCGTGCAGAGTTTAAACAGGTTTCGACACGCACAAACTTCCTTGCGAGAAGATACGGGTTTGTGTGGAGCCCTCTTTTGAGGCACTGAGGTGAAGGAGATGAGAGGTGCGTAGTGGGTAAAAATAGCTCGTAGTCGGTAATGCAGAGAGAAGTCATGTCTACTCTAAAGTCACGCACTCATGCAGGCGACTGGGAAATCAAACCTCTTCATTCAGCATTTATGGCGATTTTGATGCAAATTACAATGCACTGAATGATGCTTTGAATGCGGATTTAATGTTGTTTGTGAGTAGAGAAAAAACTGTGGCATTGATGGTGATGCTCTCACCGCTGATACACCCCTGATTGAATGCAAATTCTATTTCTTCCTTCATATAAGCCGACCTGTGGTCTATGGGGTCACTGGGGCTCATCCGGTCAGTGCCGTCCTCTCTCAATTTTCGCAGAAGTAGGAACAAGGTGGGTTAAGAGCTGTAAAACGGGGTAAAAAGTGGCAACGGCAAGCGATTATTGCAGTCTTACGCATTGGCACACAAAATTGTAGCTGATTTGCAGTTGCGCTTTAACAGTTGCATGTCATGGATGTTGTCGAGATGGCATCCGTAATTGGTGGAATGTAATTGCATCGCCGACGTTTTGATCTAATTCGGATTATTAGACTTTTCTTTGCATTAATTCGTAGGGGTTGTGCTTTTTTCTCCAACTAAAAGTCTTCCACAATAAATGAACCAGCAACACTGTTGCTGGACGTCTTCCTACCCACAAAGATGATGTTTTTAGGATACATAATTGTCGGAGAAAACATTTGCATCACAACACGACAAACTTCAGGGAGTTGAATACCATCGCCTCGAAATCGTTACCATTCAACACGACCGACGGACAAAATACTGTAAGTGCAGGACATGCTTACTAAAGGAGGCAAAAGTTTTTGCACAGTCGTAAAATTTTGGTCATTTTTAGTTGGTTGCTCACTCTCTTCACCTACGTTGAGTTGAGACGCTCATGTGGGACGCTTTTTAGGGATGCGAGAGTGATGGAAAGGCAAGCGCATTTCACGAGGAGGCGATGTGCTTGCACACGGTCTCCTTAAGGCCTCGAGGCGTGGACGGCAGGAGCGCCCTAGCGATTGCCTAGTTGTGCAACTTGAGTTAAGGGATCTGCAACAGATGAAAGTGGAACTTTAATGGCAACTTTTACAATTTTAGTAGTTGAAATATTTTAAGCATCGCAATTGCTGCCGTTCAAAAGTAGGCAGTGAGGAGCACTTCTGGTGGTCTTCTTCGCACCTTCAGGCGTCAATCAAACGAGGACACGCTTTGAACCTGCGCTCACTGACACATCACATCTTTGACATCCTTTTGCATGACATGAATGTCGGTATTAAAAGTGTTCTTTAAAACTAGACATTTCAAAATGCGCGTAGAGCACTTACTAAAGAACGGGGAAGAATCGTTGATGGGCATTGATGATTAAATGTGGGAATTCCATTTTATCCCCTCAACTTTAGAGACAACTTGTGGCAATGTGATCACACAGCAGAGCAACAGACCAAACAAGCCGACGTGAAGGTCGCGTTGACATCTGCAATCTGAGCAAAAGTAGGCGCACGATTAGACGCAAGTGTCAACTGACTGAAGTACGCAGTTAGACGAGACGGGAGTGAGTGTGTCACAGTTTCGTGTGGAATCATTTGACAACACATCTTAACCAAGAGAATAATCTTTTTTTGTCACTCCTGTTAGTGAAGTCGTTTTGCATTATCTGATTGGCGTCAACGGAAACAGTTTGAAGGCGTTGGATCGACCGTCAGTGGTTGACTTGCACATGGGCCTACAGGGAGCGACCGTCGTGGATATCGTCGAAATTGTACACTTCCACAGGTGACGAGGATGCCACAATTGCTGCTTGTATTAGTAATGAGACCACATTGTTACAACTTCCTGCTGGCTCAACTCAAGCACCGATTTATTCATCGTAATGCGGAAATTCCTGCCACAGCTTTTGTTCTTCTTGTCATGCCTCCTCGGTGCTCAGCACTGATTTATGCAAGTTTTTGTAGGGGATACGAGAAATTATTTGTGTTTAAATTTGCCCTGCATTGTAGACAATTTGTCAAAAAAAAATTATTTTAGCAAGTGCAGAGAGATAATCTCTTAAAACTTATAAACAGTTGGTGAATGGACGCCTCGTCTTGCCTTCTCACGTCAACTTTGGCACTTCAATAGTGCTGCTCGGTTGTGGCATTTGGGGCAACATTACAGGCAAACTCATTAATGCAATTTGTATTATTTTTTTTTCCTTCATTAATCCGATTGCGTGTCTAAGACTCGAGTCAGGCGTCTCCAGTCGCCCTCGTGTTCAGGGCAAATGTCATTTCCCCACGCAAACAATGCACTACCATTACTCGACATGAGGGGGAAAAATCCAGACAAATTGGCATTTTTGTTAAAGAACAATTATTATTTGCGACACCGCAGTCGAGCATACAGTGACACCACCTCCACTGAAGAGTGACAATTTAGATTTGTTGACTGCTTGTCCGGCGTCTGAAATGCGACCTCCAACAGTTCTGCACTCAGCGCATTTGTCAACGCCTAAAAGGGGATGAGAAGGTTTGCTGTCTTCATTGTGTCTCCAACTACAAATTTTAAGTCTGATGCAAAAAAAGGCTCAGATTTTAATGTACGATGGACACTTCAAGCTGCTCCAAATGGCGCGAAAATGCATCACTTTCTTCAAAATACCCTCCTCGGAGGAGGTGGAGAGGTGGTGAGCCTGCAAAACTTAATCGCTTGTTGGGGTAACATTTGCATCCTTCCACTTATTGCCGTCTCTTTCACTTATTTTCTCAACTTTCTAAACATTTTAGCCAATACCAAATGACACCTCGCGGCTTTGCACATTCAGCAGCTTCAAATTTTTATAAAAAGGCATCGCTGGTGCTGTTCCTCACTACCTCACACAAGGGGTTGCACAGTCTCGTGGGAAGCTGGGCATAAAAATGTCAACCCTGAGGGCAAAGCAGAGCAGCGCAGGTGCTTCTCTGCATTTGGCGCTCCTCTTGTCACTTTCCTGATTGGTCGGTGATTTTGTTGGTGAAGTTGACTTGAGCAACACTGATTCGCCCATAAAGGCCACTCAATTGTCAACGACGGGACGATGGCCAAGCTTTGGTCCGTCGCATCCGGAGGCTACAAATGAAAGGAGACGAATTTTTGGCTGTTGAAAAGGTGTAGTGAAGGAATTTAGAGAACAACAACACACGTACTTCTATTCTCCCTTGAACTCATTCAACCCAAAGTGGGGCTGGAGGACGTGCAACTGTAAATGCATTAAAAAGGGGCATTTTTGAGACACGTCCTTAAAGGAAAAAAGGGACAGCAATTTACAAAAGAAAAAGGAAAGTTGAGGTTGTTTGATTTCGAGTTCGGCGGTCTATTTTGCTTGTGGTCGCCTCGAAACACTTCCGCTGCGCCACTGTTAAATCAAATCGTTGCACTTTGCGTGTCATTTGAATGTTTGGCTCAGTTGTTTCAAATTGGTTTAATTAAGAAGCTTGGAGTTATGAAAACAATTCGCCTTCCTACGCAATGTATTTCCATGTTAAAGAAGCAGCAGAGGCTGCCAACAACGATCCAGTTGGTGATTTCAAAGTTTATTTTGGGTGTGTTGGCAGTTACCTTTTACTCACCACGCTGTGTCTTCTCACATCAATTTTACGTGACAACTATTTTAAAATCACAGCCCCAAAAGGCTTCTTGGTTAAACAAAAAAAGGTAGAGGTGAGAGGGGATGGAAAATGCAGCATTAATCTTGTAACACTTTGTTTAAGTGACCACCTGACGTTTGGCAGTCACTTTAGAATTTTTCTGGAGCCCGTGCACGTGGGCTGTCCTTCGGGCCACGCTCAGGCCCCGTTCCTCCTGTTGTCTTCGGAATACATGCATTCAACCTCACTTATGTCTTCTACTACCCCATTTGGAGCCTCGAGAGGCTACACTGGTGGCAGCGGAAAGCGAACCCGACATCTTATTAACGCCTTTTAGTTATAAGGTGCTTTTG